GGGGGGGGGGGGGACTATATACATATGAAGAGGCAAAAGGCAAGAAGACAAAAGTGTCAGGTATTTAAGAAGATAAAAAGCCGAAATTCAAGCCTGAATCAGCCTAAGAGCCAAAAAAGCTGCCCCTCCAAAATATTTGAATTTTTAGTCACGGGATTATAAACCAAAATTTTTTGAACTTGTTATAAATAAAACAGTTGTGAAAGAGTTGTAAATGTTTTATAACATAAACAAAGAATGGAGTACAAAGTTTGAAAGTTCAAAGAATAAAACTTCCTCAAATTATTTCTTTTTTATACCTCTTTCATATATTTACACCAATATTAAGACGAGACGTCATCTTCATCAGTGTCATTTATAAAAGGTCCCTCTTTTATTATAATTTCGTGTCAGTCAGAATCACGGAAAATTGAAGCATTTTTAATGCAAAGTTCAAAGGATGAAACAAAAATTCAAACATTAAAATAGGCAGAAAATAAAGCCGAAATTTATATATCAAACTTTGCAAACATAAAGCAAATATTTGTCTTCAAACCCCGAAACAAGACAGAGGTAAACCAACCGACTATTGACGAAAGGAACATAAGCGGTGGAGTTGTCATCTGAACCTCTAAGTTCTACACTCTTTTTTCCTTCGAACGGTTTTTGTCCTTATTGGATTTTTCGGCAAGGTTTTTAATTAGGCAGAGACAAGAATGAAAAAGATAAAATCTTTTACTTTCCGGTCACATCACAGTGAGTAACTGGAAAGTGGGGGACTATCTGTATTAGTGAAAAATAGACTCGCCACGTGGGTCTATTAAATGGCGACATGTGTCAGCAAAGTTTGGAGAAAAGTGAAGAATGACATGTAAAGATGATATGTGAAATACCCCCGGGACCGAACCTACTCGTACCGTGCCTGTTAGCCTCAGAACTGATCATTATAAAATAACCCGGATCAGGTGCAGGAGAATATCTCATAATTACAAATGAGGAAGGAATCTATTAATCCCGAATTATATGGGATTTACCATCATTACACCATCAGTTACAAATCAATTATGTAACGTACAATATATGCAATAAATGATTGTAACGGTCAGAACAAGGCAATCAATTACAAGATTGACTCAACAGGTATAGGATTGACTCAACATGCACGAGATTGACTTATCAGTTACGGAATTCCAGCATTACACAGCTGATACAAGTTTTCCAAAAGTAACATATGGATTCAGTAAATGCTCATAATGGACCTATAATTCAAGAAGAATAGTTACCTAGATTTAGCCCTATAAATAGACATACTTTTACCACCATTTGGGGGAATCTAATTTTCTTCTCTACAATTCTATACATTATAATTTATAGCATATTGCTCCCAAGTTAGCCATAGTTCGTCTCTTCAAGCTCTGTTCGGCTCATTATCCTATCAAGGATCATTCAATAAGAATTATTTCTTCTCTGCTTTATTTTTATTATATTATCTGTCATTGAATTTATTTTTTACTTCTTTATCACGTTGCATTAACGAAAATTTATATCTTTCGGATTGAATCAGTTGCTTGTGGCCCGTCATATAAAATTATTGCTTAAACATGACACATGTCTCATTTTAATATCAATGGTTTGAATTTAATTAATTAAAGCAAGCTCTTAACCATGGTTAGATAATATATTCTCTCATTTATTTGCTCCCAAAAGATTTGGTAATCCCACAATTGTAGCAGCAAATTTCCTTATTTTGTAAATGCTTTTCCAAATATTTGGTTATTGTATTGATCGCTGTTTTATTATTTTTTTTCAAATGCTTATTATTTTAGTCCTGCGAATTCATTTCAAATTAAGTAAAACAATATGCTAAACCTTCGTTTTTTCATCTTATCACAAATAAATATTTAAATATCTCCAATGTTTCTGGAAAAAAGGATATATATAAACAATTGATATATAAAGCACAATATATACGAGCTATAAACAAAAAAAAAAAGATATTTGCACTTAAACGAATTTAATGAGCACAACACTTAGTAACTTTCTTTTTGTATATGTCGTTAAAGTTAGGCACCGTACAAGGATAAAAAAAATAATAATAATTTATGATATTTCTTTTTAAACATTTTTTTATCGTTAGATTGATTAATTTATACATATGTATTTTTGCTTTTTCTTGAGCCGAGGGTCTCCTGGAAACAGCCTCTATGCCCCTCGGGGTAGATGTAAGGTCTGCGTACATATTACCCTCCCCAGACCTCACTTGTGAGATTATACTGGGTTTTTGTTGTTGTTGTTGTATTTTTGCTTTTTCCAATTATGCAGATATGCAATCCATTTTGTCGAAGAAACCCTGCTACGGAATTGTGAGATTACTGCCAAATATTTGGAAAAACATTTATGGAAAAGAAGGGAATTTTGTAGCTAAAATTGTGGGCTTGCCAATTTTTTTTTGGGTAAATCTATTATCTAACTATGATTAAGAGCTTGCTTTAATTAATTAAATTCAAACCTTAAGATGAGACACATGTCATCCATCCAAGTGAGAACTTTGGCAAATGGAGATATTAGGAAATGGAGAGGAGTTGGATAGATACTTATTAATTTACTTAACCATGATTAAGTAATTAAAGTATATATGACTTGCATTCATTCGTTTAATGCAAACACAAACGCTGGCCATGAATTTAAAGTTAGCGCTTAATCCGTATATATTTAGATATGTTGTTAGGTATTATATTTCCCACAAATTTACATATTTGACGCTTTATTTCTTGTAATTAAAACTAAAGACTAAAAAACATCATGACGCAATGCCTAGAAAAGGTATAATTTCCTGTAGTTAGTTTCATAGGTATTACATATCACTATGTTCATTTCCAGTTTTATCAAATCATAGTTGGAATTCAAAGACTTAAAAGCAACCTGGTTCCAGGCCAATGAAAGATTCGTTTAGCTAATTTCCTGTAATTGGGAGAGCAAAAGTTATTGCAGTAAACAAAATGAATCGTTCGTTCACAGCCGCTCTTCTATAACTGTGTTTCACTCAGACAATATCATGAACGAATTCAGACAATTACATAAACAGAACTAAACACACCAAACCTATTGCTGTGGTACAAGTTGAGCAACGTCCTTTTATCTAATTTCATAACTGGTTTCTGCAAAGGAAAGCCAGATATTAAAAGAGAATTTGGTACAAGTTTGGCATTTGTATCACTTCATCTTTTCTTCCTTGAACAAAACATGACGATTCACACGAGGATCAAACTTTCTGAATTCAAGTTTCGTCTGAGTCGTTTGAAGCTTTTTGGTCTTCTTCTTTACATAGAAAAACCCAGTTCCAGCAGCTGAAACGAGCCTCACGAATAGAGCTCCGGCCTTCTTCTTATCACCCATTAGCTTATCTGGTAGAGACAACAAAAACAAATTTAAACTTGAAAAAAAAAATCAGACAGTAGTTCACAATGATTAGGTAAGTAAGTTGGCAGCGCCTTGAGGAGCTAATCAAGTGTTCATGGCCAGAATAATTTTAGTGGTTGGTAAATTATTGGTTTTCATTCCAAATATCCCAACTTGCACACAAACATGTTTGACAACTTTTGTACTATAACCTTACCAAAACAACAAAACAAATTTATACATTGTTTGGTTACAAAAATGGAATAATAATAATAATAATAATCTCCACATAGAATCTAGCATAAATTATACAATGTTTGGTTGGTTTTTTCTCTTTTCCACATAAAACATAGCATTACTAATAGAATGTTTGGTTCATAATTTTCTTTTCCGCATAACTAATACATGTATAAGTTATGAGGAAATCAATGTATAATTTATGCATGGTAGAAGATGGAATAACTTATAAATGTATTAGTAATGCTTGTATTAAAACTCAAAATGACAACACCCTCTATTCAAACTTGTATTTTTTCGTTTAAGAAAATATATTTAAGAAATACTACAATTTTAATAGAATAAACTAGACTAACAATAAATAATACTCACATTATATTTCAATATTACTAATCTTTATATAACTACCGCTTAATTAACTCTACATAACTAATCCCTACATAACTAGTCCTCGCATAACTAATCCATACATAACTAACCCCTACATAATTAATCTCAACATAACTAAATCCTGCATAACTAATCTCAACATAACTAATCCCTACATAACTAATTCATGCATAATTAATCCCTACATTACTAATACCCGCATAACTCTAACCAGCAATCAAACAACCCCTTACTGCATATGTAGGCAAATGAACACTAGTCGCATAAACTCAGCTGGTCAAGTTGGAAGGTTAAAAGTTCAAGCTAGTCTCGAGTTTAGCAAGAACTGCATATAATGCATGTACGTAGCTTGTTCTCAAGCTTATTTTTCATTAATGATCGACAAGGAGAAACACATGACGTAAATACTTGCTTACCAAGATGAAGGAAAATGGAAACTTCATTTTTTTTTATGCCCAAGAAATCCATCTGGACCAACCGCAGTCTTCGAAACTCAGGGATATTCAGCTCACCCTTATATCGTCCCCACTAAAATACTATGCTTAGTTCGCATGGTGTTGGGTTCGAACCTGCGACCTAAGTCTCAAGTTCCTCAACCTGTGCCACTTATCTCCTTTTACCATCATATTGACTATCAAAACCAGAAAATTAGCATTTCTCCTAATAAACAATATTACTAATCTTTATATAACTACCGCTTAATTAATCTCTGCATAACTAATCCCTACATAACTAGTCCTCGCATAACTAATCCATACATAACTAACCCCTACATAACTAATCTCAACATAACTAAATCCTGCATAACTAATCCCTACATAACTAGTCCTCGCATAACTAATCCATACATAACTAACCCCTACATAACTAATCTCAACATAACTAAATCCTGCATAACTAATCCCTACATAACTAATTCATGCATTACTAATACCCTCATAACTCTAACCAGCAATCAAACAACCCCTTACTGCATATGTAGGCAAATGAACACTAGCCGCGTAAACTCAGCTGGACAAGTTGGAAGGTTAAAAGTTCAAGCTAGTCTCGAGTTTAGCAAGAACTGCATATAATGCATGTACGTAGCTTGTTCTCAAGCTTATTTTTCATTAATGATCGACAAGGAGAAACACATGACGTAATACTTGCTTACCAAGATGAAGTAAAATGGAAACTTCATTTTTTTTTATGACCAAGAAATCCATCTGGACCAACCGCAGTCTTCGAAACTCAGGGATATTCAGCTCACCCTTATATCGTCCCCACTAAAATACTATGCTTAGTTCGCTTGGTGTTGGGTTCGAACCTGCGACCTAAGTCTCAAGTTCCTCAACCTTTGCCACTTATCTCCTTTTACCATCATATTGACTATCAAAACCAGAAAATTAGCATTTCTCCTGATAAAGACAATCTTTATAATTCACTCAAGACATAACTTTTACAGTATTTAACAACTCAGATATATCCTTCCTTTTCAATTTTTTTTTAATTACAACAATGGCCATATCAACTCAGCCTATGCAAACAACATCTTCAACATGATATTCCGCAATACCTAAAGCCCTTAACCCACCCACCCCCTCATTGCCCAACCAAACTCATATATCATTAAATTAAGCCAACAAATTCAAAAAATAAAAAGTAGTGAATTATATGACCAAAGCACCCTTCAATTGTCCATGCAGTTTTCCAGAACATACACTATATGAATGCCCTCAACATAGCCCCTTTGAGAAGGTTTCTTATCCTTCTCGTTTTATCATAATCATGCTGAGATGAGTCTTATATCCTATTAGTGAATACATATCCTTTCCTGCCCTAACACTGTTATCAGAAACAATAACAACTACAATAAGAATCACAACAGGATGCTTCTTCGTAATCAACCACTACAAAATATAGGCTTAACAACAACAAAAGACCCACTGTAATCCCATAAGTGGGGTCTGGGAGGCTTGCTTTTGGAAATTTCTTAGGTAAAAAAATTTAACTACAAAAGGGGTTTTAATCAACATGTAGCCTCTTTGCAATAAATGTAAGGCATCCCACTTTACAGTAATTGTGAGACTGCAAGTTCCCCTATATTAGTTATTTAAGTTTACAAAATATTAAACTCTGATTGATCAAAATCAGATAGCTTATATAACTAACATTAACTTCTCTTAAGTTTTGGAACGTAACAACAACAACAAACAAAAAAAAAAAACCCAGCTTAATCCCATACGTGAGGTCTGGGAGGGTAATGTGTACGCAGCTTTACCCCTACCCTATAAAGTCAAAGAGGCTATTTTCGATAGGAACGTGAGATATATAAATACAACTAAAAAGGGTGAAAGGAAGATAAATGAGTTTCTCACATGATTTAGCAGCAAAAAAGGAAATATCGCCCAACGTTTTTAGGAAACCATCACGATTCAAGGTACGCTCTTCTTGATTGATTCGTACAACATTTACTATTGAGATCATAAAATTCTATGATACTAAGTCATGTATAAGCTTTTTGATGGATAAGTTTACAATCTATGAACATTAAAATATCTCACACTAGACAGATAAATCTACAATGTGCATAGAGATGTAGAGATCCATGTGTTTCTGCACTTTTTATGTTGCATCTTGGCTAGTGTTCTTGAATTCTCGGTTGAAGATTTAAACAACCCTTTTCACAAGAAAATGAAGTCAACAGAAAAAAAAAAAAAAAAAAAAAAAAAAAAAAAAAAAAACCCAAGGTTATACTAATTTTTGTCATAACCCAGAAATACGCAGCTTCAAATATGCCCATCCTCTACCCTTCTCCACCTAAATACCACTTGATTCACCAGCAAGGATGCAATTGTCATTGTGAGTTGACCCCGATATATTTCTTTTTGGTTGACAAGGTTGATATAAAATACTATATGCAACATGACAAGCCCAAAGAAAAGAGAAAAAAAGAGATACTACATAACACCAAAGATCTACCACTTAACTTGGACACACTAGTTTGGGTTGGTTTAAGTTCAACAGCTCGCGAGTCGCGAGTAACTAGCTGGAATATGATGATGGATCAGTGTCATCAAAGGCGAAAAGCGTTAAAAAATGCTCCAAGTACGCCAGGGCTTTAAGCACAAAGCACAATTAAAGCATGTGCTTTAGTAAAAAAGGTGCAACAATGAAAAAATAAAATATATATGTCATGTAATGAATAAAAAAAAAATTATTCATAATGATTTCCTTAAGAATTAGTATATCTTCGTGCCAATTATGTTTATCTTTAAGTACCACTACATTCAAGATAAAACTTATGGGCAATCGTGAATTAGTGTCTTGCCTACACTGAAGTGCAGCCTATGCGACATGAAGCGCCTACCCTGAGCTTCTCTTAGCTTCAGGGCTTGAGCACGCTTCAAAATTCAAATGAGCCTTTGACAATACTGGATGGGGTTTGACCAGGTTTGCATCCGGACTGAGAAGGACGACTAAAGTCACCTCTTAAATTCATCATAATTAAGCATATTCTTTTATGACAAACAACGCAATGTAGCAACTTGGTAAGTAGTTAATAGGTCTAATCATAATCATACTTGAGCTAATTGGATAAGCGTATGAATATTCATAGCACTAAAACCAATGTAGCCAACGGAAGAAACAACGCCATTTTGGGCAACCAATATGAAAATCAATAACACAGAGTCCTCAATTTCACCTTTCCATTCTCCTCGTTCAAATTCAGGCGATTAAAGCTGTAGCAGAAGCAGTAACTAAGTCAATAACTATACAATACACCATTTGAACGACCAAGAGTCGTGATTCCGATAAAGTAAAAAATGAAGGAAATATTAGATTCGCCTACCCACAAAGTTATAATCTTTAGTGGTTTCAAAGGATAAAGCATCAAGCTGTTCTTTTACAACATTATAGGATTCAGCTCATATGAAAAAGCACATTCAACAACAAAAACTGATTAACAAACGCATAAATCAGATTTTGCTATAAGCAGAAGAAAAAAGAGGAGAGAGAAGAGTGATACCAGAGTCGAGGGAGAGAGCTCCAAGGTGCCAGCAGAAAGCTTTCACTGAAGCTGATGAGAAACCCTTCTTGCTGAGATTTTGCCAGTGGGCTGTGGGTTGTTAAGCCCAAATTAGGCCCATAAGGTGCCATTTAAAAGGCCCAGTTATGATATATATTAGTCAGTATACATTGATTATACATCCTCAGACTATTTTTAGTTTAGCAGACTGCTATTTGTGTTAATTCTTCTATATATTATAGGAGTAAATCGTATAACGAGATTTTAAATTATTCGAAAACAAAGAGTATATGAGTTAAGAAAAGAAACAATGAAAAAGGTATATAAGATTTTATATTGAGATTTCAAATAAAATCATAGATGTGATGTGTGTTATAGCCTTGAAATCATGTAGTGATATAAGTATTTTGTCAAGAAATTAATCAGTGAATATGCACGATAAGAAAAACCTTGAGTTAAAATTAGGCCAAAATACATACAATGTGCTTGATCTAGAAATTCAATGCAATTTGAATTACATAAAATCAATGTATTGGACGATGAATACTTTAACTCATTTTGGATATTTCTAGCTACTAATTTATTTATCTCTGTCTGGAATGTTTCACCAATTTTATATATTAGTGCATCGGAAAGTTATATTTTTAGCCGTTGTGATAATATAGTATTTTTTGTGTGGCAAAAGTAAAGTTATGTAACTTTGATAAAAAAGAAAAAGGAGATAATTTAATGACTATTTATGAAATTTGCCCAAAATAGATTGTGTTACAAAAATCCATCACCTAGTTCATTTTCCGAAACTCCATAACCTCGCTTTATTCATATCGATTTGGATCCTACATTTTCTTTACTCTCGCCACCCACAATCTTTCATTGACGAAGGTGTCACATGTTGGAGCTGGATGGATAAAATGAAGGCTTGTTTCTGATATTTTTCCCTACAAGAATGTGCCACTAAAACTTAAAGGTAAGTTCTACAAAGCGGTGGTTAGATCGACTATGTTGTATGGAGAAGAGTATTGACTATTCAAGAACTCTCATGTACAGAAGATGAAGGTAGCAGATATGAAAATGTTGAGATAGATGTGCGGGCATACCATTATAGATAAGATTAGAAATGAACCTATTCGGGACAAGGTGGTTTATGGCCCCTATGAAGGAGAAGATACAGAAAGTGAGACTAAGATGGTTCGGGCATATGAAAAGAAGAGACACAAATGCACCAGAGGAGGTATGAGAGGTTGGCCTTGGCGAATTTTAGCAGCGGTAGGGGTAAGCCAAAGAAATGGGGAGAGGTAATTAGGCAAGACATTGTGATGTTTCAGCTTACCAAGGACATAACCCTTGATAGGAGAATGTGGAGGTCGAAAATTAGGATAGAAGGTTAGATAGTCAAGCTTTTTCTTTGTCCATACCAGTACTATTAGTTAGTCTTGTATTTTCTTATTCTTAGATTTCTATTACTATTGGTTGTTTCTTTCACTTCGATTTTCTAATTGGATTGTTGATGTTAATGGTTGTTGCTACTATTTTTTTTTATCTTTCTTTGAGATGGGGTCTATCGAAAACAATCTCTTTACCTCCTCCAGATAAGATAATCATACTTGTAGGATTATACTAGTGTAATTGTTGTTGTTGTTGTTTGTCACCACCCACGATCTCTTTTCTTTCTCTAAATAAAAGTTATTTGCTACGCAAAAATTTGGAAGTAGTGCTAATGTTGTCATATATACTACGAGATCATACTCAAATATAGCTAAACTAGAAGCATCTTATATGGTACTAGTATGCGCCAATATAAACCATATCAAATTATGATTTAGGTTATTTGGATTATGTGCAAATAACCTTAAAATTAAACTTTCTATATAAAAGTTATAAATAATTATTATATATTAATTAACATGTAGGACATGAAACTATTTCTCAAATCTGATAGTGGATAACCTGTTTTCTTTTTTTATACTGCAATAACCCAACCCCTTGATTTTGGCACTTGTATTTTGTTTTACCATCAATATTAAAGAATACTCAACATATAACATTGTAATCTGTCTTATTCGAGCATATTAAATCATATTATTTTAGCAAAAATCTTACTATTTTCATCTCAAAATTAAATAAGTCTTATCCTTCTAAATCTTTAGACATAATTTTTTTCTTTTTTTGTTCTTTGCTTATAGTTATTGCATTATTTATTACTTAATATATTTTATACTGTAATGTGAACATTTATTAGTTTATAAATTGACTTAATGTCTTACTTATCACTCTATTATTAATCATCAATAAAAGTAAAGAAAAATTATTCTTAAAATTTAATGTATTTTTACACTATCATCCTCTTACTCGGAACTCTTTCATCATCTAAATCTATCAATAATATTTTTGAGTATTATTTAATAATTTAATCTCTATATTTTTAAATAAATTTAAAATATAAGTATCATCGCACTATCTCTATTTTCCTCTTGCAACATTCTCTTCCCTATTGTCACGACCCAAAATCCCTCTGAAGGAGTCGCATGATGGCTCCTAGTCTCTAAGACTAGGTAAGCCTAACATTAATAGAAATAGCGACAATATTTACTAACTTCGAACAATTTCGAAATAGAAATCTCTAAACAATTTATAATCCCAAACCGGTAGTACAAGTCATAAGCCTTCCTAGGAGTAGTTGTACAAGATGAATATATTACTATTCCAGAACAAAAGGAAACGATCCGCACAGCTACTAACGACCGAATACCTAGATCTGTACAAAATGTACAGAAGTGTAGTATGAGCACACCACAGCAGTGCCCAGTAAGTACCAAGACCAACCTCGATGGAGTAGTAACGAGGAACAGTCAAGACACATACTGGTCTAATAAGCTCAACATGATATGACATACCACTAACAAGATAAAGATAACAAAGTAACGCCAATAGCAGGGAGAAATCAAATTACAAACAAAAGAGACGATAAGGGGAAAACACGGATGGTAACGAAAAGTAACCAAGTAAATTAATACCAACATAGCTGGGATACAGACAAGTAAAAATGTGCTCAAATAAGGAAAACAATGTTAACTCAACCAATCGCATCATTCCTAATACACAATTCCGACCATCCCAATCCTCGAAGTCTCGTATCAAAATCACAACCTCCAAACCTTTAACACACATGGCACCTTGTGCCCACATATTTCCCTTTCACTTTACATAGCAAAATTCACGTGCTACTCAATACATCATATCCGTATCAATTACTAATTAAGATATTCAAGAAGTTTCATTTATATTTCATAAAGTAAATTTACAGTTTCTAGGCTAAATAGGAACCAGCGAGAAAGAGGAAGTTATTTTTTTTTTTTTTTTGAAA